AAAAAAAAAAAAAAATATATATATATATATATATATATATATATACACACACACACACACATATAAAACTTGAGTTCTTCTATTTGATAATTTTAAGACTCAACTTTGCTACAAAGTATAATTATATTCAAGATTATTCATCATACATAATAAACTGCTAATTTGAATTTACATGTTAAGTTTACCAAAACTGTACAAATTGATTTTATTCAGAATCTTTAACTCTTAAAACTATACACATATATACATATACGTAAAAAGCAAGCAAAAAATCTTTTCATAAGAGAATGGTAAACTGAGATCCTGAAGCCACAGTTAAGACCAGAGGAAAAACTTTTAGCACCATTTTTTGGTTTGTTTTTTTAAACATATCTTTATTGATTTCAGAGAGGAACAGAGAGGGAGAGAGATAGAAACATCAATGATGAGAGAGTCACTGATCAGCCGCCTCCCACACACCCCCAACTGGGGATCAAGCCCGCAACCCTGGTATGTGCCCTGACCGGGAATCGAACCGCGATCTCCTGGATCCTAGGTCGACGCTCAACCACTGAGCCACGTCCGGCCGGGCTAGCACCATTTTTTAAAATTCATAAATAATTGGTTTAAATACAACTTTCTTCATTATTAAAATCATGTTTAATCAGTGTAATTTCTTTCCCAGAAAGTTTACAGTGTCAATGCTATTAGCCACTGTAAGGTTAAGGAACAGGTTAGGGACCCCAAAACTATATATTTTAGATATACTCTTTCATTAACTGCACAAACTGCACTTCTGGCTCTTCAAATCCTGCTAGAGAGAGGAAGCAGTTTCTTTCTGTTTGTTTTCCTTCTACTTCATCTAACAGAATATACATGTAAGTAGAGAAGGGTAGAGCTAAGCAGGGCTAAAATTAAGAGCAGACAGGTAAGAAATCAAAATTAACATTAGTAGTATAACATATTTGATTTCCTATCTAGTATCCACATATCATTAAAAATTTTCTTTTGCTAGCCAATATTGGAAGAAAAATTCTTGTTTCTATATACCCTTATACACACAAAATGTAACAAGTCACACAGCTCCTGTTCCAGATCTTTAACTTCCCATTCTCCTCCACCTTAAATTTCTTTTCCTCTTTGATAACTAGCTAACGAAACAAAAAATAAATTAGGTTTTAAATGTTCATGAAAAAAAATGGCCCCTCAAAAAAGGAGAGGGCGAATAGGTGTGGAGCAGAAGGCACACGGAAAGCTCACATATCGGAATATATCCACTGCGATGCTACTTGTAATGATAAAAACTGTGGAATATGCATTTGATAAATTATTCTATCACTGCACTGACTACGCAGTAACATGGAAAGAGGTTTATTGGGGGGGAAAACCCTACAAAATATATTAGGATTACAATTAAGTGAGCAAATATGTATATCCAACACTGAAATAGATGCTGCATAAATACAAATAAAGGAAGAAGAAAAATTTCCCCTTAAATCTTGTATTACATTAGAAGTTTTAAGAACAAGATTTTAAGAAAAAAAATATTGGTAAGTGATAATAACATTAGTCATTCTAGTAACACATCAATGTTTTTGATAAGGAACATTTCTGGAGGCTAACCTAAACATTGAAGTAAGTCTTAACAGCAAGGGAAGTACTATCCTCTACCCACCCCTCATGGTTAAGTTGTCAAAATGATCAGGGAGTATCTAGCATTTTGGAGGCAAAACCAAATATGATGGTTAATTTTGTTTGTCAACTTGACTGGCCACAGGGGCTGCCCAGATATTTGGTCAAACATTATTCTGGGTGTTTCTATGAGGGTGTTCCTGGATGAGATAACATTTAAATCAGTAGACTGAGCAAAGCAGACTGCCCTCCATAATGTGGGTAGGCCTCATGCAGTCAGTTGAAGGCCTGAATAGAACAAAAGGCTGATCGCCACAGAAAAAGAGAATTCTTCCTGCCTTCAGACTCGAACTGAAACATGAACTCTTCCTGGGTCTTGAGGCTGTCAGCCTCAGAACTAGAATCGCACCATCAGCTCTCCTGGTCCTCAAGCCGTTGGACTTGGACTGGAACTATACCATTGGCCATTCTAGGTCTCCAGCCTGCCAACTAACCCTGCAAAACCTGGGACTTACCAGCCACCATAATCGCATGAGCCAATTCTTTATATAAGCCCCTTTCTGTATACATGTATATATATCTATGTATATCCACACATCCTATTAGTTCTGTTTCCGGGAGAACCATGACTACTACTAAGGCTGCTAAATGTCCTACAATATCAATGGCACCCCTATTGAGAAACACTGAGCTGGGTAAAAATTTTGGTCCCAATGGCAGGCTGGAGATAAAAAGTTGTACCTTTTAACAAGTAGATGTACCTTCTAACAAGTCGATGTACCTCCTAACATTCCTCAAATCATCCCATACCAGATATACATCACGGGTTTGCCATCTTTGTTGTGGAGTCATATACAGTTACTCTAAAGCAGTCCCTCAGTACTTGGTAAAAATAAAAATTAAAACTTTCCTCTTTCTTTCCACACATGCATTTTTAAACAACCTGATACTGGTAGCCCATAGTGTTTTTTCATTTTCACAGCATTTTAAGTTGCAGACTCTACATTTCTTAAAATTTTTATTTTTTCTTAAAAGACTTATAAATATGCATCAAGCGAAGCATATTTTTCTCAAGATTCCCTCAAAAACCAACTCTACCAACATATAAAAATCAAGACTTTGCTTTTGGCCAAGATGTAAATAGACCAACCTCAAATAGACTAGCTGTGAGTTCCTCCAATTCCTGTCCAAGTTGATCTCGTACTTTAGAAAGCCTCTCACACTCTTCATCTTTTAACTTCAGTTCCTGTGAGAAATTGATCATTTTATTTTGGATTTCCATAATTTGAGGTTAGATTCAGCAGACTATATAATCTTTAATAATAAAATTACAAAATATTAATAGTCCCCTCCCATAATATTTACACTAAAAATGTTTGTTTAGCACTTGCTATGTGGAAGACAATCAGGCAAATTAAAAATTACAAATAATTCTAACTCACATATTAAAGCTTCACGTTTCTTTTATAAAACATCCAAAGATTAAATTATTATATATTACATGTGAAAATAAACAATTAAATGATTTCATTCTTTTTTCCCTTAACTTTTCTCTGAACATACTTATTTCCATCAATCGAACAATTTCTTCAATTATGCTTATTCATGTCAATAAAAGTTCAACAGGTTTTTCCCCATGTGTACTTTAAAAATTGTTTACTGATCATTTTATTTACCATACCGCAATTAGTCTAAAGTTTCCATTAGGAGACTATACCATTTTAACACTACAACCAGAGGTAACAACAAAAATCACACCTTACATTTACACATGACTCCCAACAGGTCACACAAAAATGTTAAATAATTCCTATATTAATATGTTACAGTATGGTGTCAGATGGGTATGAGATTTATCGGGATTATCACTTACTAAGTTATATAATGTATAATCACTGGGGTGTACACATGGAACGAATATAATATTGTATGTCAACTGTAGTTGAAAAATTAAAAATCAGTTAAATTAAAAAAAATTTTTTTAAGATGTTGCAAATATACAATTTTATATGTTGCCCTAAATTAATCACTCAAACTTAGAGATAAAGAAATTCAAGCTCCTTATATATTGGTCACAACTACACTAATAAAATAACGGGTTAGTTGTGTAATAACTGTGGTGGCAGCACAGTTTTTGAATCTCCCAAGGATAACTCCTGAAAGCTAAATATACCAACAGGGATAGCAGAAGAACTACACCCTCAGCAATACTACATCCTCAATAAAAGTAGGTAAAAGAGAATCCCCTCAAATCTTAAGACTCTGAGGGAACGTGGCTACATGGCCAACACTGCAGGAGCAGCAACTGTGTGGAACAGAGCAACAGGAAGTGAATGGGACTACAGAGCACCCTGCAAACCCTCAGAACCAAAAAATCACTACAAATACCCCAAAAGCAAAGTATTGTACCATTGGTGGAGACTGGAAGAAAAAAGGGAAAGGCTTTCCCATTTGCAGGTGAGTGCAAAAATCTGTCCTGAGGCAGCAAACAGTACTGTGAAGCGCTAAACTCTCAGGTCTGTCAAAGCATCCAGCAAAGAAACCCTTCCAGGACAGAGCTCCACACTAGGCGAAAAACTCTTAAAATCTGAAACCAAATTGCAGGACAGGAATAACAGAGACAGAGAGAAGTTTCTGGTATTAAAGGAGGAAGGTGAGGGCAAAGTTCCAAAGGAAACAGATCGCAGAAAATACTATAAAAAATGTATCTTATGATGTAATTTTAAGCCTGTAAAGCTCACAGAGACACTGGGCTGGAGGAGAAAACCTTCCTGAACAAGGCTTACCTCTGAGGGATAGAAGTGGCTAAACAGATACACCAATAACAACAGAAGGGAAAGCCCTCGAATGTAAAACTAAGAAAGCTATCCTGGTTTATCCTACTCCTTCACAGAAACCTCCTCCTATACTCCAGAAAATCCAATTCATTGAAACATGGAAAACAGACAAAAATATGCAAAGTTATCATAATAAAAAAGTTATAAACACAAAGCCAAGTCACCCATAAGGGAAAGGAAATCAGACTGGTATTAAACAGCAACAGCATTTTATGCTAGAAAACAATGCAGTAACATTTTTAAGATACCCAAAGGAGAAAAAATGCGAGATGAAGATTTTTAAATCTAGCCAAAGTGTCCTTCAAGTGTAAGGTCAGAGACAAAGAGTTATAAACCTGTAAAACTTTACAGAGAATATCCTGAGCATGCCTGAGTGATCGAGTAGAGAATGAGTTTCAGATAATCAACAAAAAATTGAAGAAGATATAACATTAAAGACTGGGGGTGAGAAGCAAATACACTTAATTCTAGAACTACAAATAAAAGACGGGGATATCCAGAGAATGAAAACACAAGCTACCAGCTGGGAGAAAAATATCTGCAAAAGACATATCTTGATAAAGGATGGGTATCCCAAATATACAAAGAATTCTTAACGCCCGGCTGGGCGTGGCTCAGCGGTTGAGCGTTGACTTGGGATCCAGGCGATCGGGGTTTGATTCCCGGTCAGGGCACATGCCCGGGTTGTGGGCTCGATCAATGACTCCCTCATCATTGATGTTTCTGTCTCTCTCTCCCTCTCCTTTCCTCTCTCTGAAATCAATAAAGATATATTTTTTTAAAAAAAGAATTCTTAAAACTCAACAGTAAGAAAATGAACAACTTGGTTACAAAACGGGCAAAAGACCTGAACAGACACCTCACCAAAAAGATATACAGAGAGCAAACAAGCATATTAAAAGATATTCCATATTATATGAAATCAGGGAAACACAAATTAAAATGAGTACCATCATATACCTATTAGAATGGCCAAAAAACAAAATACAGACAACACTAAATGCTGGCAAGGTTGGGGAGCAACAGGGACTCTCATTCACTGCTGGTAGGAATGCAAAATGGTACAGCCACTTTGGAAGATAGTTTAGGAGTTTTTTTAAAAAACTAAACATATTCTTTTTATTAATATACATAAGAATATTTATTGCAACAGTGCTCGATATAAAAAAAGATTAGAAATAACCTAAATATCTATAAGGAACTGGTTAAATAAACTACAGTAATCCATACAATGATATGGGTTCAATTTCAGGATTGGGGTTACCGTTAATGTGAATGCTGAGGGAGAGGTGCCAAGACAGCTTAAGTAAAAAATGCAAGATGTGAACAGTGTTTACATACCTTTACATATTTCAACATACCTTTAATATTTAGTTTTGTGCATACAGAAAGCCTTTATGGGAATACATAGGAACCTCCTAAGCATGGTTGTCTCTGGGAAGGTAACTGGCTAACAGACCGAAAGCAGTCTGACAAAAACTAAATAAATTCTTACCACACAATCCAGCAATCGCACTTCTTAATATTAAACCAAAGGAATGGGAAACTTAGGTCCACACAAAAATCTGCACTTGAATGTTTATACATTCATAAGTGCCAAAACTGGGGAAACAACCAAAATATAGGCAGATGGGTAAAAAATTCAGTAGGTGAATGGATAAACTGTAACACATCCAGATAAAGGAGTATTACTCAGCACTAAAAGGAAATGGGCTACCAAGCCATGAAAAGGCATGGAGAAAAATAAATGCATATTACTGCATTTAAAAAGTCCAATCTGAAAAGGCTACTTACTGTATATTCCAACTATATGACACTCTGAAAAAGGTAAAACTATGGAGACAGTCAAAAGACCAATGGCTGACAGGGTTTAGAGCACAGAGAATTTTTAGGGCAGTGAAACTATTCTGGGTGACACTGTAATGGCAGACACGTCACTATACATTTGATAAAACTCAGATGTACAACACCAAGAGTAAACCCTAATGTAAACGCAGAACTTTGGGGATAATGATGTGTCAGTGTCATCAGTTGTAACAAATGAATTACTCTGGTGCAGGATGTGGGTAACGGAGGAGGCTGTGTGTGTGTTGAGACAGGAGCTTTAAGGGAACTCGGTACTTCTCTCTCAATTTTTCTGTGAAACTAAAACTGCTCTAAAAAATAAAGTAGGTTTTGTGTTTTCTTTAATAGAGATAAAGCAGACAAAACAGTTATGTGAATGTTATAAGCTTCAGGAATGTAAAAATAACACACACAAACAAAAATAGGAGAAAGAGGAAACTAAATTCACAAACATCTGAAATATTAACTGGGAGTAAAACGAAACAAATCACTTTGAGGCTCACAAATCAATTAGTATAAAACTAAACATATTTAACACCACAGAGGTTAATATTAAGATAATATTTTAACTACAATTTAATTATACAAGAAAAAGAAACAGTAACTAGTAATTTTAGTATTTCTCATGGGAAGGAACAAAGGCAGTAGCTAAAGAAAGGTTACGAGATATTTATATCTTCAATGAAAGGTAACAACTAGAACGGCAATCAAACATTCCCAAATACCAAAAAGGAAAAAAGGAGGAGGACACACACACACACACACACACACAATGGAGCACACAGTGAAAAGACAATAGAAACATGCCTAAATGTAGCACATTTACCAATAAATGCAAATGGGCATAACTCACCTATTAAAAGAAAATGACTTTCAGATTGGCTAAAAAAGCAAAATCCATTCTATGCTCTATACAAGAGACATACCTAAAACAAAGTGATTCATACAGATTAAAAATAAAAGGATATGCAGAAGTATTCTAAAAAATATAATACAAATAAAAATAAAATAGGGCTGTCAATCTTGATAGCAGACTACACAGGATACATGGCGAAATCATTCAAGACAAAGGAAACTTCATAATGCTAAAACTGCAATGTAAAATGAAAACTTTAAAATACTCCCCGATATAGAAGTAGACTTAAACAAACAGAAAGGATATACCACGTTCTTGGATAGCAAGGGATTATAAAGATGCCAATTTCCCTGAGTTAATTTATAAATCTATAAATGCATAAATTTAATACCAGGTTGTTTCAAAGCCTAAAATTTCACTATTTTGTAAGTACATATGAAAATTAAATCAATTCAGTGAACATTTCCTACTAGGTAGGCACTATGGTAAAACTTCAGAATACAAAACCCAGATACTACCCCTTGAGAAGCTTCCAATCTATTAGAGCAATACATACATCATTCATGAAAGCAAAATTCTTGAATTGCTCCCTAGTCTACCAAAGTGGCATAAACTTCACTCTAATACTAAAGACCCTTTACATGTGCTCAATTTTCCTTTTCAAAGTTATTTCCCTTGATCCATGCAGTAAAGCTGGAGTTAAATTGG